GTGCATTTCTCTGATGACTAATGATGTTGGGAACCTTTTCATGTTCCCTTGGCCATTTTTATGTCATCTTTGGAGAAATGTCTACTTAAGTCCTTGACAAAAGATTATAAACAGCGTGTAAAAGTTAGGTGAGAGCTCAAATAAGTACAAAAAAGAATGTTATCATCATCAGCTTATTCTTTTACCCAAGTTTATTTCCCAGTTTACTATGAATATCTGGAAAGTTACAGCTACATTCTTTAAAAAATAAACAAAAATCCACATTACCAACTAAAAAAAATAATCTCAGCTTTTTATTTCTAAAGAGGGATTGTGTTCTTTATTGTTGCTAAAAGAATACCTTTTTTTCAGTAATTTTTTTCTAATGGTCCATAAATTTACTAATTTACAAATAGTCCACATAAGCACTCTCAGCGTGAGGTATTATTCTATTTTAAATTTTAAGTATGAGTTTTTAGAACTCGTTCTTTATTTTGGTTTTGCTAAACATATAGACTTAGCTAATATTTCAGATTTTTTTTTTTAAATGTTGAATTTTTTTTTAATGTTGGATCCAGTTGGTGGATCATTTTGGATCATTGACATCTACTCAGACTTAAATACTGGTATAAATATTGTCCAGAGGAAACTCATGATAAGCTTAAAAGTACATGATGCACCCATGGAAAGGCTAAAATAGTGACGGCCACATACACTGTAAAAATTTGGATAAAACTGGAGATCTCACATATTACTGGTAGAAATGTAAAATGTTACAAACAAGCTGCAAACAGTTTGGCAATTTCTTACAAAACTAAACATACTCTTACCACCATATGATCCAGCAATTGCACTCTTGGGCACATCTTTCAGAGAAATGAAAGTTTATATTCCTACAAAAACCTGTACATAAATCCTCATAGCACCTTTATTCCTAATAAGAAAGTACTGGAAACAACCCAGATATCCTTCAGTGGGTTGTTAGTTAAATAAATTCTGATACATCCAAATAATAGAATACTACTCAGCAATAAAAAGAGATGAACTATTAATATATGTAACCAGTTGGATGGACTTTGAGGGCATTATGCTCAGAAAAAAAGTCAAGCTCAAAAGTTTACATATTGTATGGTTTTATTTATATAACATTCTTGAAATGACAAAATTATAGAGTTGGAAAATAGATGCGTGGATGTCAGGTGATAGGGACATTAGATGAGGCGAAGGTAGCAAAAGGGAGTTATTTTATGGTGATAGAACAGAGTTCTGTATGTTGATTGTGGTGGTGGTGGTTCCACAAATGAATACATGATATAAAATAGCATAGAACTGTGTACACACACACACACACACACACACACACACACAAATGAATACAGGTTCATAAACTCTAAAATCTGAAAGAGGTCTACAGACTAGTTAATAGCAATGTACTAATGTCACTTTCCTCATTTTTATATTACACCACAGCTATATAAGATGTCGCTATTGAGGCAAATTGAAGGAAGGATACCCAGGAGTTTATTATTTTTCAAACTATTTTTGGGTGTATATTAATTTCAAAATAAAAAAATTTTAAAGACTATCTATTGTGCAATTATAAAACACTGTGAAAAATAGAGATGTCTCTTCACACAACTGGCATTTAAAGCAACATTTTCAGAAGCTTACTTTTAAAAGTCTTCAGTTTGAAGTGATGATTTTTATTTTAATTCAAGCATGCAGTTGTATAAGCTCAAAAGGTGTGATTTGTGAACATGAAAGCTTCAACTCTGATCCCCTGTGCTCCATTTTCTTCTTCAACCGCCCTTTATTTGACCAGGAAGGATGTCATTTCCAGAAGTACTCGGAGACCCACATTTAACTTGAACAACATTGTTCTTTCAGATTTTAAGGCTGTTCAATTTTCTCTGTTGGTTGCTACCCCGAGTTGGAGACTCTTCTGAAATGTCAGACTGAGAAAATAGTACTGGTTCCAACACAATGGAAAAAAAAAAGAAAAAAAGAAAAAAGGAAAAGCTTTGGAATGAATGCAATCAATAGCCTTTGAAAACAAAGTTAAAAAGCAACAATTGAATGCTAAGATGTAGAAAACCATCTTGTTCTTTTTTTAATTTGAATATCAATGTGGCCAAGAAATGGGGAAGCACAATGGAGTGTTTGATTCAATAAGCACTTAGCAAATACCCAAGTCATCATTGTAATACCTTATATGATGTGCATGTGGTGCATAGCACAAAGTTATAAAATGCGTAGCAGTGAAAGTTATAAAAATGAATGGCACAGTCCATGCCATCCAAGAGATCTCAAATTTATATCCCCAATATTGGCAAATGCTCCAGGTTCTAATACCAGAACACTGAGTGAGAAGCACAGCATCATATAATACCAACAGTGAGAAAACCAAAACCCAACAGAATCAAGAGTAGAAATACTTTAGTTAGCCCAAGTGAAAATTGGGTAGTCTCTGGAGAAAAGCATCAGTCAGGAGAGAGATTGCAAGGCTATAGAAAATAAAATCCTGTGGTAAAGGTTTGCAAGATAGTAACCACACCCAGTAAGTTTGCAAGATAGCAACCATGCCAATAAGGAAAATGTGTACGAATTTTAAGTTTCACATTAATATTGTCTGAGGAATGCAAAATTGTTTTTCCTGGTTTTTTTTATATTTTTATTTTTATTTTTATTTTTTTGGTGAATGGCTTGGGACACATGTGGATAAAGGAAAATTCTGAAACAGTGCTGCTCAGTTATGGGTAAAACTTGGCACTATGTCCCATCCAAGTACTAACCAGGCCCAACCCTCCTTAGCTTCCAAGATCAGGTGAGATTGGGTGCATTCAGCATGGTATGGCCTTAAACAAATTTGGCTGTGTCCAAAAAACTGCCTGTCTGGAGATGACATAATGGCACTAATATGTCCTTAAAAGAAAAGTCAAAAGACTCCTCACCTTTTTACCCATTTATTGTTTCTGTTTTGTTGTTGGAAAATGAGCTTTAGAATTAATCGATAGGAAACCATTCTATGAATACCTTTATAAAGAAAGGCCAATTATATTTTACTTCACTTATTTGACTTAGAGTATTTTACTCACTGACTTTCTATTGTTGATCATGCTGATTCTATTTTATTCAAGCCAGTATTAAATTACCAGGAAAAGTAAAAATTAAAAAGATATTAGTCTGGGATAAAAAAATTAAAGGATATTACTTTGGCATGAAAAATGAGGTAGGTTAATGGATGGGTAGAAAGATGGATAGATGTGTGAAAAAGCAAATGTAGAAAAATTGTACAATCTAGGAAATGTGGCTGTGAACTATAAAAGTCTTTCACCTATTCTGCATGTTTGAAAACTTTCATAGAATTCTTGAAAGAAAATGCAAAAAAACTCAAAACGACAACTAGAAATTTTAGTGCCTAAATACATACACAGTTTTATTTCCTAAAATAATTTTTTACTGATTTTGTCAACATACTGGGTAAAATTCAGAAAATGTTACAGAAACCAAAGGCTTGCATTAAAAATCTCAAAATTGATTCTAAGTAAGGGATAGAATCATAGAGAAATAGCTATAGTAATTGAAAGTATCCATTTATGTGGAAATATTTCTTGTTGTTCCATCAATACACTGGTGTTATGTTTCTTCAGCATCTGAATGTTCTTGTTACCTGTGAGCTCAAGTCCATCACTCTCCAAGAGGGCCAAATGACACAAATTAGATTTTTTTCCCTCAGATCTAGAATGCAAGTACAGCAATGTATAGTTACTTGACTAAAACATCAAAGTGATACGGAACCAACCAAATGAATATGGCAACAATTTTTACATCTAGTCATGAAAAAGAGTAGTTTTCTGTATTTGTTTTCTAATTTTGGTCTCTACTATCTTGTATTAGTTCATTCTCACACACTACTATAACGAACTGCCCGAACTATAATTTTTAAAGGAAAGAAGTTTAATTGACGCACAGTTCAGCATGGCTGGAGGGTTCTCAAATTACAGTCATGGCAGAAGGGGAAGCAAACACATCCTTCTTCACATGGTGGCAGCAAGGAGAAGTGCCAAGCAAAAGGGGGAAACGCCCCCTGTAAAACCGTCAGATCTGGTGAGAACTCACTCACTATCACAAGGATAGCAGGATGAGAGTAACTGCCCCCGTGATTCACTTCCCATGATGTGGGGATTATGGGAACTACAATTCAAGATGAGATTTGGGTGGGCACCTTATCATGTCTTAAATATTCCTTCCTCTTGAAGTCAAATTAGAATTTTTAATGAGTCTACAAAAAGCCTTTATTGGTTTAGAATCAATTAATTGAACAGCACTGATTTTCTGATCCAGGGCAAATGGCATTTCATTGTCAGTGGATACGTAGCTCCTCTGTACTGCTGCAAGGATTGCTTCTCACATTTAACACTGGTCCTTGAAATTTTCCATGAATTTTCCAGAAGTGCAAAAGCTGCAGATGCCCAAAGATGGTACCTTGGCAGTTCCATTGCTTCTAAGCAGGTCTGGATCTCAAAGATCTCAGACAAGTTGATATTGATCTTTGAAGAAAAGTTATGTACAAAGGAAATACATCTGCCAACCTCCTTTAGAGACAGGGTCAAATAACCAGTTGGAAAATTTTCTAAAGGTGTCACATTAAACTTTAGTAATTCCTACATTTTTATGGGGCTTTTAACTTTGCAAATTGCTTTCACATGCATTATCTCATTCCATGTTCTATGGCAATGAAACAGTGTCTAGGCTTTAGGGCTGAATTACAATGACATCGATATGAAAATGTTGACAGAGACATGCAAAAAAGTTATTACCATGCCACGCAGAAGATTTCAACAGGAATTGACTGGATGCAAGATCAGTAATTGCAAAGGGTTAAGATTCTGCTCTAATGCTGTGGTTTATCACTGCTATTTTGTCTTTTTTAAAAAAGAAGAAAATGCCTTATTTCTTTTTTTTCCTCCTCTTCATCCTTCTTATTTTTGATTTTCTTTTTCTTTGCAATAAATCTGCAGGTCAGCCCAACCCCAGGGTGCATCCGTGCCCTCATGAAGATGCTGTACTGCCCATACTGTCGGGGGCTTCCCACTGTGAGGCCCTGCAACAACTACTGTCTCAACGTCATGAAGGGCTGCTTGGCAAATCAGGCTGACCTCGACACAGAGTGGAATCTGTTTATAGGTAAGAAGTATTTAAATGGATCTGAGAACAGAGACAGGACAACAGCAAGTGTTTATGGGGCTTGATGGGTGGGTCAGAAGTTGTAAGAAACCAGACACGGTGTTTCACATTTGTAATCCCAACACTTTGGGAGGCCAATGCAGATGGATTGCTTGAGCCCAGGAGTTTGAGGCCAGTCTGGGCAACATAATGAGACTCCCATCTTTACAAAAAACAAAAAATAAGCTGGGCGTGGTAGCACACACCTATGGTCCCAGCTGTCTAGGCGACAGAGGTGAGAGGATTGCTTGAGCTTCAGAGGTCGAGGCTATAGTGAGCTGTGACTGCGCCACTGCACTCCAGCCTGGGTGACAGAGTGGGACCCTGTCTCCAAAAAAAAAAAAAAAAAAAAAAAAGTTATGATGACTTTTAGAGACTAGGATGATTTTTAAAACCATGTTTAGCAAATTGTAAGTATTATTTTACATTTTCCTTATGTTTTTACTGTATATTATATGGGACAGTCCTGTTAAAGATTGTGCAACCCAGCTATATTGAGCTAACTGTTCTCTCCAATGAAAACAAAAGTAATCTTGTTGAAGTTACATACACTCCCATGAGAAAGGAGGCTTTAGAAAAGAATCTTGTAAAAAATAGTCCACTGTATTATTTCTTTGTCATTTGTATTACCTCAACATAGCCACACATATTAGTAAACAACTTTTTCCTTGAACTCCTAGAATGAAAATAGATCAATATTATGGCTGAAATATGCAAATTTTCTATCTCATTCTGTGGAAAAGAAGGCTTTAAGCACACAAGCATGAAGCAGCCTTCCAGTCTCTAGAAGGCAGGAGGCCCGGAGGTGGGGAGAATGGAGAGGGAGGTCTGTGAGTCAAGGCTCTGTTCTTGGGTTGCAGAAATCATTCAAAGGGTTGCATGGCCCAAAGATAGTTCCCAAATTGCCATCCAAGGATAAAAGGACAAATTTTATAGGCAGACTTCTCCCAGGAAAATACACAGGCCTTGAAAGAGTAAATGTGTTTTCTCCCCCTCTGTCAAATAGCCTTGAAATAAAAGTACTTTCAGTTGCATTTACTGCAATTACACGGTGACAAGCAGAGTGGTGAAAATAGCAGTGGCATTTGTCAGCCTCTGAGGGCCTTCGTCATTTATGCAAACCTCTAAATGAGCATGCACGAGTAAAGTGTTCTGACAACTAAGATTTGCGTAGGATAGAAAAAAAGATGTTAGAATTCAGAGAAACTGAAGCTCACTGTACAAAGATGTGCTTAGGTTACAGGCCTCAGCTCTGACAATGAAACCCATTGGCTAATTCACCATTTTGCTTAGGAAGGCCAGAGGAAATGGCTTTGAGCAAAAAAAAAAAAAAAAAAAAGAGAAAAAGAAAAGGATTTTACAGTGAACAGATTCAAATGGAAATCATCTAACAAAACCTTAGAATTATTTCAGAAAGAATAAATTGAAGTGCTGTTACCTCTCCCCACAGTGGGAGGATAAAATCTGTTTGTATGATCATGAGTTACTTTATTTGAAAAATGAAGGAATTTTTAAAAGTTGATCATTAAGGGATCCTTCTGACACAAAATGACATGATTCTTTACTAAGATTTTTGTTCTTTGCTAAAATCGTGGAGGGGGTATGAATTTTTAAAAATAAACTTGATCTTAGAAGATCTAGATTTTTTTAGCAAAGACAGAATACCTAACTAATGCTGATAAAAAGGTACACTCGTCAGAAAATCTAAAAAGATTTGCTTATTTTAAAGTCAGATTAAACCTCATAGCATCACTTGGAGTCATATAATCATCCATATTTTGGGTTGCAACTGCGCTAATACCTAGCACAGTTCAGTTGACTTCAGTCAGCCTGCAAGTTATTGAAGAAGACGGGCATGTGGATTTTGTTACTTAGAGCAGGACATGATTGAGAATGAGAATATAGGCTTTTCAACTTGTAAGAGCAACAATGACTTGTTAATTTACTTTTTGTCCTCAGCACTTACTGGCTGTTTTAACCGAAAACAAATCCTTATGCTTTCGATCAATTGGGTTTCCTAGATACTGATTTGATATGAAATTGAATGTCTGGAAAATCATTGGATTCAAAAACTAAAGTTTGAATCCACTATGTGTTGCTGGATGTACTTTAATGAAAAGCAAGCGTGGTGGTTCGTCCTATATGAACGTATTTCCTACCCTTTCTTCCTGTCTCTTTTTTTTTTTTTTTTTTTTCCTTTTTGAGACGGAGTCTCACTCTGTCGCCCAGGCTGCAGTGCAGTAGTGTGATCTCGGCTCACTGCAAGCTCCGCCTCCCGGGTTACGCCATTCTCCTGCCTCAGCCTCCTGAGTAGCTGGGACTACAGTTGCCCGCCACCACATCCAGCTAATTTTTTGTATTGTTAGTAGAGACGGGGTTTCACCGTGTTAGCCAGGATGGTCTTGATCTCCTGACCTCGTGATCTGCCCGCCTCGGCCTCCCAAAGTGCTGGGATTACAGGCATGAGCCACCGCGCCTGGCACCCCCCATCTCTTTTATTAGTCCTAGATGTCTCTGAGAAAATTCTTCCAGTTTTCCTTCTTTGGTTTGTGCTATGGCATTGAGAATTGACCACCAACATAGACTTATGTAGAAAAATGTGTTCTTGCTAATACTTGTCTGGGTGTGAAGTGTTAGTTCACAAATTTATGGCATGAATTAGTCAAATATGCCAACTCCATTTTCCACACAGATACATCTCAGATGACAGTGTTACAATGTTCATAAATGCAGCAGCAAAGATCAGTGAGCAAATCGGTAATCCAACAAAAATTATATATAATAGCCCTCTCTCTGGGTAGCACCTGCAGCCCATCACTTCGGGCTTCTGGCATCTCTTCATCAAAACCTTCACTCCTGTTGCTGTCAGTTGCATGTGCCTTCCCTGCCAGCTACACAAATGCCCCAGTTTATATATTTTATAGATGTTTTTCTTTAATTATAAAGTGCCTATCTAAAATGTTAACAGTGACACGCAATCGACCGTCAATAAAAACAAGAGTCAAATTGGGGGCACATCCTCCCAGTCTTTACAATGTCACAAATTAATTGAAAGTGATTAGTGACTGTTTAGAACTCAGTCGGTGTCTGGATCATGTCAAAAGAAAGTGAAGTGTTTTAAGCATTCCAGTAAAAATCTCTGCAGTATTCCAACCACTACTGAAGTTCTGTAGTTGGGGTGTGTGTGTGTGTTCTTCAAAAAAATCAGGAGTCTATTTAGGATGCATTTTCATAGTCCTCCTCCAGGAAGTTTAACTCAGTTCCCTGCACAGAGGAATTGCTCAAAAGATTCTTACCAAGTAACTGTTATAAGAAAAAGAAACTCCATTTTTACATGAAGAACTTTTGTTTGAAAACTTCCTTACAGCATTGAAAAAAATGCAACTAGACCTATTTTAGAGTACTTAAAAATCCTCATCAGCCTCAGGCCCACCCCTTCACTTACTTTGTGGTAAGTAGTGTATGGGGTTCCCCAGGATAAAGCACAACCCAGATTCCACTTGCTGCGTCCGAATGAATGATGTATTACATAGCACCCCTGAGCTAGGCAGGACCAGAAGAAACAGGAGAGTGGCTTTTAGCCTATTCTCACTATTAGAAACTATGCAACACAGTAGGAGAAAACCCTGATTTAAGGCATTAACAGTCTCTGCTCAGGCACTTATCCTAGGTGTTGCTGTATTTTCATATACAACTTATCCCAGCCTAGCTTTTGCATGCTGCCCAAATGCAAAATGGTTTTCTTGAAAAATGTTTACATTAAATTAAAATCTCCTAGAGGGAGAAACAGTTTGTGGGCAGAACTTGCTTCAGTAATATCCTGTGGTTATTTTGAGTGTTTGGCATTGTTATCAACACTCCATAGATAAGAATTGTTCTATTTCACAAGAGGCCATGTTGCAGATTACAACTGGCTCATGAACACAAAAGTCAAGGCTGAAGTACGTTTATATTAGCTGTAATAAATCTTACATCTACTTTAAAATTGAGGATGTGTGGGACAGCCTCCTGCAAACATCTGGTACCTTCTAAGATTTTATAGACTACGAGAACCAGAGAGAGATTTCTAAAAGATGTTACCAGTGAGGAGAGGCAAAGTTTGGTGAGACAAAGGCAGGGATTCTGTATTATCACATACTACTTTTTATCCCTAAGTGTTATAGAATGCTTCTAATAGCAAGTATAAAAGTGAGACCTGAGTGTTTTTGTCCCAATTACGTAACCTCATTTTTTAGGCTACCCCAGTTAGCAAAGACCCTAATAATCCAGCTCACTATATTGGGTGAGCTAGGTATATACATTTTTTGCCCTTAGGGAATTTAACATAGTTAAAGTAATTATAGTAGACTATGACGAAGTGTTAGGTTAATGGAAGCATGGGATGCTAAGCCTTTACTTGGCTGGGGGACTTAACTTAGTCTGGGGCAGGGGGTTAGAGAAGCCCTGCTTTGTTAATTATAGAATAAAAAGCAAATAAGATCGTATTGTATTGGCATTGTCAAACATAATTGATGTTAAATAGCCACAGCATGTATAATTGTTACACCATAGCCCTCAGATAGTTTCAGTTTCCCGTGTCACTCTCAATAGGTTTAGCATGATTTGTCAGTGGTTCTTAAATGCTCGTTTGTTTTATTTTTGACATTTTCTATTATTAGGTCTCACCTCCCCACTACCACTGACTTGAACTGATGAGATTTGTGTTATTTTTCATTAGACAAAAGTTGAGTTATCTTGACTTAGATGCCCTCCAAAGGGCATTATGCGGGAAGCCAGCAAAGCAGCTAGTATTTTTAAATTTATGCCTTGGGCACTCATAGACCAGATACACCAGTGATATAAAACTTTCTGGACTTCTTCTTTTCAAACTTGCCAATTATTCAGTTGTCAGGCAGCCCAAAGACTGAAAACTGGCATAAGAGTGTCGAACATGAAACCCAAGGTGGGCACGGCATCTGTGG